TAATATTGTATCACATGATATTTGTCCAAATGTCTCGGACATAAAAATTTTATGTCCATGTCCATGGGACTGTCCGGAATGGGACTGTCCATGTTCATGTCCATGTCTCATGACAACACTGCTTATAAGCAATTGTAAATATTATCATATCCCGTCATGTTAAATTTAAATATTCATATAACATTTTAATGAATAAGTAATTAATAGACAAAATAAGCATTATAAAATAAAAATTAATTTTTGTAATTATGTGATACCAGTTTCTATTCAAATTATTAATGAATATGACTTACAATAATGATTAAAATATCGTAATAATTTTATTAATATATGAAATTTTTAACTTTTCAAGAATTTCAATAAATTTTATTAATTTTTGCCAAAAGAAATATCAATTATATTACTCAATTATCTATCTTCTGGTGGAAAAATACTATCAAAAAGATTTATATTTCTTTTTAAAAATAACATATCACTTACTAACTCTGGTTTAAGATTTGATCTTTTTGCTATTATATTATTTCCTATATCTGAAAACAATCTTTCGGATGGAACTGATGTTGGATAAATTTCCAAATATTTACATACAAGTATTAATAATATTAGAAAATGTGATTGTTTTAATTTCTACCAGTCAAATGGATCAGTATCCTTCCCTTCCTTTTCTAAAGATAGATAATTATCTAATTCATTTTCATTTTTACTCAATTCATTTAGTTTAGCATAAATGTCATCTAAAATTGATTTTCTTTTTTATATACTTCATCATTATTTTTACTGCTTTCAATTGTTTCTGTATCAGAGTAAGTTTTAGATGTAGATTATAATATTAAAGATAAAAATAATTCATTATCCTCATGATTCTATTATTATATTAAAAAATATAAATATGTTAATATTTATTATTTTAAAATAAAAATTAGTTTTAAGTAAACATTATAATTACTTCTTTTATAGCCTCTTCTTCATCTTTAAAAATATCATAAAGTTCTTTATACACAATATTCTTTGTTAACTCAGTTGTAAATCATAAATTTTTAAATCACAGATCTAATATACAGGCTATCATAACAATAGTTTCAGATGTTTTCTAATATTTCAATATACTCTTATATATTGTTTGTTTTATTTCTTTAATATAATTTCTATTTTGAAAGTTTAAAGGCTTAGAAATATCCACTTTATTTTTATTTTTACTATTTTCATTAGAAATTTTAATAAAATTCTCATTATCTTCTATAACTTTTTCTATATTTTCAAATAGACTAGTTTCATCATCATTATCCAATTCACCTTTAATTTCAGTAATTAAAGATTCATTATTTAATTGAATTTCAGATATAAGTTAAGATATAGCAGGATAAATAAGTGATATTGTAATATATTTAGATCCACTAAGCAATACCATTGCTTCTTCAAATTCTTGTAATAAATTAACAAGATTGCCTAGTAGTTTCCATTCATCCTTTGTAAGTATTATTTATTGTAATTTTTGACTATCTTTTTTAGCATCTAGATTAAGATTAAATTGTAAATGAATGAGTAGAAAAATGATTGCACATTTGAGCTTTAATAACCTTTTCCAGGTATAAAATGAAGAATTCCATTAAGTAGAAATATCTTCAGTTACCAAAGAAATATTTGTATAATTAAGTTTTCTTTGTGTTGCATTTAATCTTTCTAATTGTTTAGGTGATATATGAAAAAAATTAATAAACCGCTTAACTTATAAAATAAGTTCTCTAATAATATTTAATTTTTTACTAACTGTCAATTGTAATAAATAGGTATCACATAGTAAGCAATTAATATTTTCCATTATTCAAGCAGCTTTTTTAATATTCAGACCATTAGTTATTAATGCAATTATTTTATTAAGTTCTATTTTTCAAAAATTTCTATTAAAAGTTATGATATAATTTTTCCAGTATAAGGATATGGAACCTGTTTCAATTCTAAAAGTATTTCCTTAGGTTTCCAATCTATTGATATTTAAGAACATGTTATACCAATATATTCTTATTTTGCTTTAATTGTTCAAAAATCTGTGGTTATAGAGGCGGCAATACAATCACTTTTTAATAACTAATTAAGTTGTATACAACTCTATATATAAGCTTTACTAATTATAGTTTTAATTATTTTATCACAAGAAACAATAAATTCTTATCAAAAGAATATAGCAAATTATGAAAACTTTTGCAATTTAAAATATTAAATGCTTGATTATTATCTAAAATGAATTTTACTAATAATTGACGAGATTCTTCATATTCTTCTTCTTTTTTAATTATTGATTTTTAATTGCATCTTGTATATCTAATTGGTTTAAAGATTTTTAATTATCTATTTTTTTCTCATTTAGTTTATATACCTTATGAATTTATGCAAGATGATTAATTAAATTTGATGTTGTAAAACCATTATTATAAGAAACGCTACATTCTTTACCATCATGCATAATAACAGTACATGTAAATGTAATTAAGTTTTTTGAACAATGAAAGTAACGCCATATAAAATTACCTCCTTTTGGTATTTTACTTTCAGGTATTGAACTTGTAGCAATAATAATATCACTTTTATTTTTTTCATCTTTATTATATGCTTTCTCTTATTCCTGTTATACAACTTTTTTCCTTATATTGGCTGTTACTTTTATTCATTTTTTGTTGATTTTTTTTATTAAAATGTTGTAATTTAAAAGAAAGTTGAAGTAATTCAGTATCTGAATATTTTAATCCCTCTTGCTTCTTATATTCCTTTTCAGTTCTTTCATTTTCACTTAAAATATAAATATATTCATCATTATCAAAATTTCTAGAGGAATACTTTCTATTTAAGTTTGAAGATTCTGCATGATTGCTCATTATTCTTGAAGAAGTTAGAAAGACTAAAGATTATTTATTATTTATCGGATGTTATTTTAATTAATTTTTAACCAGAATTTTTCAATTTTGTGAAACATTTATTCAATTGAAATTAATAAGGCTAGATTGCCAATGTAAAAATTTCAGTGCAATAATTCATGATATTATTTTTATTTTGGATAAACAAATTAAAGTTGTACAGTGGGGTATCAAAAGTCACCGGGCATTTGTGATGTCGATCATTTTTTGAAAAATTATATCGAATTTTTAAATTGAAATAACTTACGACTATTGTATCAATTTGAATGAAATTTTTTTTATATTAATCATATAAATATATATTTTATAATTTTATTGTTAATATTTTGTAGG